TGTGGTAATTTTTTAATAAAAACAGATCCAACAACAAATTTCTGTGAACATTGAAAGTAAGTCTAGTTTTGCTTTCGGTATTGAAACTGAGGAATTTACACAGTAATATCTTCCACCAACTGTTGGAGATGATTGTTATTTTGCCCAAAACACTAACTTGTATTAATAATGAATAACCTTTAATAATATTTTATAAGTTTTATCTAATATAGGAAGAGTCCATCAGCACCTAAAGTGACCCCAAGGATTATTAGAAATCTGGCTCTTGGAGCTTTGTGTAACTTTATTTAAGCATTTATAAATGTGATCTTGGATCAAGTTATTTTAAAAAATAAAAGATTAATTATATTAAGTGTACTTAGGTTTTAGCATTGCGTAATTACTTTGATTTAAGACCTATCTTTCCAATCATTAATTTCTTAAGGCTCATCAAACTCCCGGTGCTAAAATTTGATGAGTTTTCTGGTTTTTAATTAATTACATTAAGAATTTAGTTTGTAAACCAAAGGATAGAAATACAATAATATGCCATTAATAATTTTATTTTACTGCAAAAATCCTAGCTATGATAGTAGCTGGTTTCATTTGATGATACCTGCGTTCCCATGAGTTCATGCCAAGATCATTAAGCAGCAGTCGGCAAAAGTAGAAAGGAGCTTTTGGTTCCTGGCGGGAGGGTTTCCTCTGGCAGGCAGCCCGAAAGCTTACATCAGCATCCCACTTCCTAACTTGCTCCTCCTCCTGTTGAGTCTGACGGAGAATGGCCTCCAGTATGGCGTTTTCCTGTTCCAAGTTCATGCCATGAGGAGATGGAGCTGGCTGATTCAGCCTGAGCTGGGGTTGAGAGAGGCATTCTGGGCTGCTGTGACTGAGGTCCTCCAAAAGCTTATCCAAAACATCAATCTCATCATCTTCACAGCAGCTCGAGAGGGAGGTTGAAAAATTACTTTTGAATTGTTCTTTTATTGGGGAGGAGGGAGATTTTCTGCCATGTGTGCTAGAAGTTGGTAAAAGAGGGTCGTCAACTGAAGGAAAGACCCCCACATCATCAGAATCATCCTGCGTGGTGCGATATAAGATGGTGCCATCCCAAGAGTATTTCCCAGAGATATCTCTGACAATGACCCGAACTTGTGAGGAAGGGTGAGGGAGCTGACCAACAGTGGGTGTCTCTGCAGGGATTTGAAGGTAGGACACCAAAGTGCTGTCATTGAAGACAAACAGCTGCAGGTTGGGGCTTTTGAAGACCTCAGAGGACAGCTCAGACGACTCCACGTAAGGGTTGTCGTGATTTTCACTCACAAGACTGTGTAGGAGAGCGGGGCCGCCGCTCAGAGGATGATGGCCAAGATGGTTCACCAGGTGAGTCATGACCATCCGTGCTGTCAGAGGTATCAGCTCCAWGTTCCGACGACGCTTTTCTGGTTGCAGCACAAAGAAAAGAGGATTTAAATACTGCACTGCCAAAATCTCTTTAGATGAGTTTAAAAGACAGGAGTACATAGAACCTTTTATACCGTACTCAGTACAAAATTTGGTAACCATTTTGAAAAGCCCCACATTTGCGTGTAGACATGCTATGATCTCTATTAGCAATTTTTAGACAAAGCTAAATCTCATTCGTAAATACTAAAGGGGTACTTCATTTATTTTTCACAATAGCTTGCCTAGCACACCTCTAAGTAGGTAGCATCTAATCATAAGAGACAACTTTGAATAGCCCATTGAGTCTTCTTACAATAGACAAGCACCGAGACTGGCCAAGTGCTAATGAGAACAACCATCTTTACAGGCCGATGAATAGAACTCTGCTCTGTGGATTTCATTTATGTAAATGCACAGGTTTTCACTCCCATGTGAAAGRCATGCATTGCTTTATTCTGCAGGGATGTGGGGAAAGACAAGAAGATGCACTTCTGCATTGTGACAGTGCTATCAATACCATCATCCCCCATCAAAGTGGAGAAAGCTCTTTAGAGAGCAGGCCAAGCTGCATTAGAGATGTGCTGGCCCTTTGATGTGACTTGATCAATATGATGTGAGGGCATGAATGTAACTAGGCCGGCACTCTTTGGTTTGCCCTTTTGATAGTGTTTTGTTATTTCTACCAAGACTCTGTGTTGCAGTGTTCAAAAAAAGAAAAGAAAAAAAAAACAGATGTAGCAACATTTTTGTTTCAGTAGATATTTATACTCTGTGATTCAGCTTTGAYGACTTTTTAGAAGTTGAGGACATAAGGTACACAAGGTAGAGAAGGGAATATATTGCCTAATGGAATCACAAGGTCATAAAAAGAAAAAAAAATCAACATTTTTATCTAAACTCCATAATGGGTCTTCTCTTTACGACTGAGCACTAATGCAAAAATTCCATTCCCATGATGGTTGATTTTCTTTTCAAACTTTTAATAAGATATTGACATCTAATGGAGAGGCTTCAAATGGATGGGTTACTTAAAGTTCGCTTTTACCTGTAGCCCTTTTTTTAATCCATGGTGGAGTGGGTGGGGGGATGTTAGGGGACAGGGGAAAGAACAGACATAATCATCTGCTTCCAATATAACAAAGCGAAAAAAAACAGAAAAAAAATCTAATTTTAACTCTCTCAAGAATGTTTTTTTTACATACCAACACACAATCATGCTAATTAAATATCAAACAAAAGTCTTAATTTTGTTAGTTGAGCAACACGATCGTATAGAAAGCAGGTAGCAAATAAGTTCAGATAAAGCACTCTTGAAATGCTTACCCTCTGCTACTGTGAGAAGGTTGCCAAAGTCTGCTGTGTTCGTTTGTGATGGCGGTGGATCAAAACTCTTAACCTGCCCTAACATGAGGTCATAGTCACTGGACAAGTCTGACAAACTGAGAAGATAGTGGCTCTGTTGGGTGTGCAGATTGGAGCCAGACACACAGCAGTGCAGCACCTGAATGGCAGAAGAAACAAGAGTGTTGAAGTGTGTGTGTGTGTGTGTGTGTGTGTGTGTGTGTGTGTGTGTGTGTGTGTG